TCTTGACCAATTGGGAGGACATTTTTCTCATGGCCATAAGAAAATAACAGATAAATCAATGTAAAGACTTGTCTCTCTATCATCATGTCACTGTGGGGAGGACATTCATTTCATTCAACTGCTTCATCATTCAATTGTTTAGGGATCAAAAAAGGTTACATAGTCCCAATCAATCCATGGTTCGGGTGTAGAAAACAGCTAAAAAAGACATTTGATCATTTGTAAGTCCAGGTGAGAGTTTGCTTACCGTTTGGGTGTAACTGATGTCAGACATGGTTCCGCTCACAGCCGCTGGGATAGCAACTCGGCCTCTAAAGATGCTGCAGATAGAGTTGACGAAGCTGGACTTCCCGGCTCCAACTGGTCCGTACAGCAGGACTCTGAGGTGCTGCACGCCCTCCCTCGGTCTGTAGTCCTTCACATAGGTGAGATCCGTCTGCTTGTCTCTAAGGGGAAACATTGGGAGTAGAACAGTCACCCCCCTCTCTAAAGCACCCGTCGGTGAGGTCCAGGCGGGGTGGTCCTGTCCCTGAAAGCAAGAGCCTTCAAAAGCTCACCGCAGCACACCGAAAGACAAAGAATCGGCACAGGTTCTCTCCTTTGTCTGCCAGTGCGCTTTTTTTCTAAGCTTCTTTAGTAGAGACGCTTAATACGTCCCAGCTCATCCCTCTGGTCATCAGAGGGTGGTCTTTTCTTTACTGTTACTTTGGTGGAGTGACCCATGAGAACAGGGGCCTCCCTGTCCTCAGGAATGTCTGGAAGATCCAGCTATCCCAACTCTTACCCTAGGAAAGGGTTCCATGCCACCAGAGACGGGTTGGGGTTCATATTTACTCACCCCCAGCACACTTTCCGCCACGGCTCTCTGAAAACTGACAGAAAAATCCCTTACAATGATAAAACATCTGAGCAGGTTTTACTCTGCGGATTGTAGAGAGGAAACAAAGCAGCTTATAATGTTTTTAGATCTTTGTTTCATACGCACTGGGAGAAGGCGGCGGGTCCGGCCCTGGGAGGAAGACAAACGGAGACCGGTCAGTGAGTCAGAAACAGTTTGACTTTGTTTTTGCTGACGTCTTCCATCTTTAAAGCTGACACTCATGTCAGTATACGAACAGATATGGTGAATGACCCAGAGTTCAATTTAATTTTTCAGAAGAAGAGTAAAATACTTTTTGCCTATAAGATATTGTTGCTTTAATTTTTGAGAAATACTCACTGCGAGGAGGCGTCACAATCGCTGGAAAGTAAGAAATGTGAAAATAGATCAAAGTTCAGTCATGACCGTGTCCTCTCAGGACTGATAATCTTATACTTTCACAAAGTTCATCTTTCAAAGAAACAACATTTGTAAAATAAATAAATAGATGCAATTTTAAAAAAGGGGGTGGTCCTGCAATGGACTGGGTGACCCCCCCCACTCGCCTATTGACTGCTAGGATAGGCTCCAGTCCCCCCCGACCCCATTAGGGGATGAGCGGTTACGAAAATGGATGGATGGATGGAAAAAGAGGGGTTTGGCTGTTGCTACTCACTGGGAGGAGTTTCCACGATACCTGGAGAAGTAAAACATGAAAGTATTTCAAATTAAAATAAACTTCTGGAAATATTTCCCTCATTCATATCCACAACAATCCCTTTGTGGGAAAAATGGGAATAACTTGACTGAAGAAAGAATATTGTTGCTTAAATATCTTGGCCATCTACTCACTGGGAGGAGGCGTCAAATCTCCTGGAAAGTGAGCATTTGGAGACATTAGTGTTAGAAATAAATACTGTAAGATGTTACCTCTAAAGCTGACATCGTAATGAGTTCAGTAATGTTTCATCATGTATGTAAAGAAAAAGGACAGATCAGCTTTAGTGGCTTCGTTAAACACTCACTGGTAGAAGGAGGAGGTTCTTGCTCTGAAAAGTAAGACGTTGAACACATGTCAGTGTTTTACAGAAACATGGTGGGATATACAATCAGTAAAAGCATTGAATGGAAAAAACTGAGAACAACCAAACTCCACACAGAAAGAATGCAAATGCTTATCAGTATGACCGAAACAAGGACTGCTGTCCTACTTTATCACAAATATTTAGTCATGTTTGGATCCTGGCAGCACAGTGCTGGTTCAGCATCTTTATTCTTTATGCATCTCCAAATATGAACAACCATATCCCCGTTCAGTTAGACTTCTATATCGCGAAGCAGCGTTACAGCTGCAGACCATCAGAAAATGAGCCAAAATAACGTGGAGCACAAAATGACATCAGAGAGCGTTTGAAGCTGAGCCTGAAATGTCAGAAATGCATCTGTTTAACATTTGCAGTCAGTCTGGTCACATCTATTCTACACAACACACAGAATGACCAAAGTGGCTCACAGGAGACAATAAAAACATGTAAAACATCATTAGAACATCATTAGAACTTCATTAGAACTTCATTAGAACTTCATTAGAACTTCAGAAGTGCTGCTGGGTCGGTGTGACTTGACCAACTGGAGAGAACGTCTGGAGAAGGAAACTAAACCAGCCCATTTGTAAAGTGTTCAGTACCTGTTATTGTAAATTATGGGACCGATTTGTGAACCCTAATTATATTTACAATTTTACAGTTAGAAATAATGACTCCCTAATTTTCTGCTGAATGATCCACTCAGACGTTCTTACTTTGACAGGATTGTCCCATTTCTCTCTGACGTAGTCCTCAAGCAACACGAAATGCTGAAAGATGCTTTGGTTGAAGAAATGAACTAGTTCTGATCTGCATCTCCTCAAATATCAGCCCCCCCATCACTGCCTCCCCCTCCCGCCCACACACATAACTTCAGTCATGCAACACACCTTTCGAACCCAAAGACGTTCACTTCCTCCATGCTTGTTACCTTTGGCTAAATGAGTTACGCTAAACCCCGCCCACCGCTCCACCCCAAAGCAATTAGTCTGTTCCCTTTCTGTGCCCGGCCCTCACATAACACCACACACCCACAGCCTTCCCAGAAGGAAGTCACAGCCTTGTGGCATTTCTCGTAAGAGACAAGATTCGTGAGCACAAAACAACGAAAGCTGGACATGTTTCATTTTCTAGGTTTCTTAAACCCTACTAAGGTAAGAAGGACTTTATCTGTGTCCTGAGAAATACGCTGTGACCAAACTTTAGTGGTCGTTTTGTGTCAGAGTGAGTTGGGCGGTAAAGGTGTGTGGTTGTTTTCTCATCCTTGGTTTTGTATCTGATGAAGGAGTCGTATGGAGGTTCAGACATTCTTTACTCAGGCGGTGAAGATAAATGAGGCAGTGACATAAACAGACGGCTATACATTCCAATCTGTAACAAGTTACACTCATCATCAACAAATCAAGAGTTACATGTAGGTCTGGGATATTTGAGTTTACATGGCAGTTTTTACACCATTTTTTGATGAAATGTAGTCTGAATGTATCAACCCAGATGGAGCTCATTTTAAACATAATAACCAGAGTGAACCTGAGTTGAACAGTATTGCAAAAAAAGTATTTTCTTTACA